GCACTGAGAAGGGTGGAAGGCTGGGCTTGTGGTTAAGACACTGGACTGGGACTCGAGCTGCATTTAATCCCAGCTCTGTCAGATTTACTGTTTTGAGTCTGGACAAGCCACTTAGTCTCTCTGTGACTCAGTCCCTATCTGTAAAATGAGGATAAGAACACTGCCCTGCCTTACATGGGTGTATTGAGGTGCTGATAGTACACCGTAGAACTGGCCTAAACCCTTCATGTCTAACTCCCTTCTTGGGGTGCTGATCTCTGTTCTTGCCAGTGGAAGTTGTCTCAGTGTGAATGGGGGAATCTATCACTCAGCTGGGCTGCTCCTGGATTCTTGCATTTCACAGGGTTTGCCTCATATGCTCTATGGCAACTGGGAATCTCAGCTGTCTAGTAACTCCCACACCTGCAAACTATGATCTTTCTCAGTGCTTCCATGCTGGCTGCTTTTATCGTAATTGTCACATTTCAGTAAAGACCTGAGGAGAAGTTGATTTGGGATGATATCAGCCTTTTTTGTCCCATCCTCTCATAAAATAGAATTAATAATAATGAATAAATTGTGTCTTCCTAATATAGCCCTTTCCCACTATTTTTATTATTACATGTATTGCGGTAGCACCCAAGAAGCTGAGGCTCACGGTGGTGCTGCACAGTGATGCTCTTGACACTCATGCAGGCTAGAGAAGCACAACACTTCCAGTGACTTGAAATCTTTAACCTGGCGAAGACACACACAGCCAGATCAGCTTGAGGACAGAAATACTAGGGTTGTTCCGCATTTCCTTCTGGTATTGGCTCTTTAAATTTTTCTCATCAAAGCTTTATTAAAATATGGCTATGCTAATTTGTGCAGGGACATGCAAATCCACACCCCCATCGCAAACAAAGGCAGGTCCTGCTAGAGGCAATAAGCAGGAAAGTGATTATAAACCTGCTGCCTCCACTGCTTTATCTCCATTTCTTGGTCTTGCGCACGCACACTCACTGGCTGGTGTTTCCCAAGACAGAAAGCTGCCATTAACCGATGTTTAAAAGCAGCCAAGTGGAGATGAAGTGAGACCACTTCCCTGTCTCTAGAAATTCCAGGGGAGGCGGAGGGAGAGCGGAGCTTTGGACAATAACCTAGAAGGACCCTTTATGGTCTTGCTTGCACTTGGAATGCAGCAGGATTACTTCAGTGCAAACAGTCAGCATGGAGCTAACGACTGGAGTCTGCACACTGGCTAGGAGGGCTGTCCAGCTGCAGTAACCCCCAGTATCAGGTACAGTAGAAGGATAGGACTTCATGAAAGCACAGAGGCTGTTCCTGTTCTTGCTGACTGCCTCTCTCTCTAAGGCTGGGGCAGGAATCCTGCTTCTTGGAGGGATCAGTGTATGCTGCAACAGAGAGGCTAAAAGAATGTGCATGGTACTGGGCACTAGGAACTTGGGAGTGCTGATTTGGCTCTGTTACTGGTTTGCTGTGTGGCCAATCCCTGCAACTCTTTCTTAGAGCTGGGGAGCTTAACATGGGGTTAATACCTCACAGTTGTGCGGATTAACTGTTAGTTTTGCTGCTTGGGCAGGGGTTACTGTGAGACTGCTCTGAAATAACTATAGCATAGTGAACTATACTGGGAATGTGTCATTCCATTACTACTAATTTAATCAACTCATAAAAGACATACGTACACCTTGGCTTCACACACAGCCAGCATGGTTGAGGAGCAGCTGAATGTAGAGCTGACTGCAAGTAGGAACTTTCAAGGGAACATTTTGCCCCTAAACTGTAGGCAGTTGCAAATTGCCAGGGGAAAATATTTCCTGAAAATCTTCATATATTTTACCAGAGGTCCATCTCCTTTACTCATAGGATTTTACACCCTTGCTGACTTCCTCTCTTCCCCAATCCAAAAACCTTCAATGCTGATTAAAATATAGCAGTACTCATATTGGGTCCATATTCTGCACTGACAGTTCCATTTGCCTTCTGAGAGCTGCGAGGGGTGTAAGCCAGGGTTGAATTTGGCCCATGGTTTGAAGACTTAGGCTATCATGTTCAAAGGTGCCTAGGGGATTTGGGCACTGGAATGGAACAAGGGATGCATTTTCCTGAGGAGGCTTTGCCAAGCTAAGCCTTAAATCAGCACTTCTCGAGTTTTGTTTGTTTTTTGTCCAGCTTCTGGTTGTGATTGGAACTTGTCTTTATTTGCGGACTCCAATCACTCTTCCCAAGAGCCTTCCACCAGGTTCTTTTCATTAAAAGGAAGCTTTCCTGCAGGAGAGTTACCAGTGTGTGTCTGATCTCAGCTTCCATCTACTGCACAGCTGAGAATCTGGGGCACAACAGAGGAAGGAGGCAGAAATAATTTCCTGGGCTATCCTGCTGTTTACCTGCACCCCAGTTCCTGCTCAGGTAAAGGCAGAGAGCCATTAGCTTACTGTGGCTATTTTAGTTTAGTGTTTCTCACATAAGCTCAGACTGGTACATTATATTGGTCCATTGTATATGAGCCTAAGAAACTTTTTTTATTGCTTTCTAATCTCCTAGTTGCTCATTCTTGGCTCACTATGATTTGGGGTGAAAAAAAAACATTAAAATGGCAATGTAAACCATAAGGAACCTCTGGGTTGGAGCACCTGGTTGAGGTAAAATCCAATAGCTTTTGATTGCCTTCTGCTTCTCTTTCATATATTTGACCATGTCTACATGATTGAGCTAACTACAGTCAGTTAACATGTTTTTAAATATGACTGCCTCTATGCCAAGTCATGTTTAACATGGGGTTTGTTAGTAAGCCTTCTGACATGGGGCTTTTTCCCAGCATGGACAAGACCAAGGTTTTCAGAAAAGTGACTAGCAATTTGGGGGCGCTCAATATGAGATGCATTAGAGGGGCTTGATTTCCAGAAAGGGTTGGGCACCTACCTGCAAACCAGATCTCAAACTGGACATCCCTAAATCATTAATCACTATCTTGGCTGAGATGCTCATCAGAGGCTGCCTGGAACCCAGACCCATAATGGGCCACAACAGGAAGGTAAAGTTTTTCACATTAAACAAAAATAGTCCCCTACTATATGAATAGGGGAGGTGTCTGTCTGTGACTGACTTGCTTTCAAGGAGCCTCTCAGGGTAGAGGGATTCTTCGGACATATTTAGCATGTTTCTTCCTCTAGACAGCAAGCAAGAAAACTGTTGCAGCAGCAGCATTACTTGCATGATGTGGATTGTTGCATCATTTTTTCTTCACTACATTTTATCTTGCCCAGGCTGGTTTTCACAGAACCTTTTGGTGCATTCAGACCCAATCTGCATTCTGGGACTCCTGGCGCAAATACCCTACGGTGCCTGGCAGTGCTGCGTGTGGAGGAAGGTTTGGCTAACTTCCATATGTGAAGCACTGCATTGTGGGTCGGGGTTATGAGCAGCATCTGAAGTGCCACAGCTGTGATGCTTGGGGAAGCGGTTGCGGGTAGGGGGGAGTGTATCACACATTTGGATGGAAATGGTTGAAGATTGCAGCAGTTCAGCTGGCCCTCAGCTAGAGACCTCTCCACAGGCGTTAGACCCAAATGGCAGATCCATTGCTTGTAGAACACCTGAGAGAGCTCATAAAAGACATGTGTGGGGGCATGAGGCATTGCAAACTCAAGGCATTTGAGCCAATCATTTGTAACACCTAATAACCTACTATAGAAGGCACCAGTGGTTACAACGGGATTCAGAGCCCTGGGGCTAAAGTGATGCTCCTGAGACACAGCTGAGGCTGCTTATGTCCTGTCTGTGTCATGCCCAGCCTGAAATGCGCACTTCATACAAGAGATTCCCAGATCTCCCACCTCTAATTACCTTCTGAGTTTGGGACTCTTTGCACTTACTGCACAGTTCATTTAATGTGCAATGAAAAACAAGCCCCTTTGTATTCTCTCTGGGCAAGTTTCTTTGTGAAGTTGATATGACCAAGAAAGGTAGCTATGTATCATCCTGTGATGTGGGGTCCCAAAGCAGCACTCTGCGTGTTGTGGCTTAGGTACTGAACTTGGTGTCGGAAGACCTTGGTTCTATTTCCAGTTCTGCCACAAACTTACTGTGTATTCTTGATCAAGTCACGCCATTGCTCTGTGCCTCAGTTTCCCTTGTGTAAAATAGGGATAATATTTAGTGTTGGGATGCTAATCTCACTTTCTTAAATAACAAAGTTATATCTACTAAAACGTAAATTCTATATCAGATTCTTTAAAAGCACTAATAACAAATATATTTTATAATAAATGATTTAACACTTTACAAAAGAAATCTTTAAACTTAAGATCAAATAGAGGTCCCCTAACTTGTTAAATATCTCTGAAGATGACCTCTGAGCCAAACTATAATATGACTACTATTGTCACATGCCATGGAAAGTGTTACAGAATGTCCCACCCCACCTCACCCAGACATGGAACGAGGCACTTAATTGTCCCTAAAGCTACTTCATCTCTCTTTTTGCTTCACTGCAGAGCTTCTTCCTAAAACCTTTCCCAGCCTCTCCTGAATGGCTTCTTGATAAACAATTGAAGAAAGCTCACATATCCTTGTAATACATGAATGTGTTCACTTAAACCACTCTGATACAAAAGGTAATAATTCCTTTGTCCAGGGTCTCAACCTAAATTCTCGCTGCTAGCAATCCTGCTCTCATAGATGTCCCTTGATATCTTTTAATAAAACTCCTACATTTATTTAAAACAAAATGCATCAGGTAAGTCTTATACATAGTGAATAACTGTCAAGCAAGGTAACAAAAGACATTTATAATGTACCACAGCAGAACAGGAGAGGAAAGAAGCAGCTCACCACTAGAGCACTCCTGTACCTCTACCATCAGGACCAGAAAGTGAGGCAGCCCGTGTCTTGATCTCTCCTGGCATGTTGGGACCCCAAACATTGTAAGGCCTGGTCTGCTGCCTCCTATGAGAGGGAGCTTTGGCCCGTCCATGCTGCACTCACATCTTGCTGATTTGTTCCTAAACAGCAGAAGGTGCTGGTGGCATGAAGGATCAAGATGCAGCGAAAAAAGATCAAAGCAGATGATCATGCCAACCTGATGGGTGAAGACCAAAATGCCAAAGGGCCTTATTACGGGAGTCTGAGCCAGGATCCTATTGAAATCTCGGAGGTAGGCATATAAAATCTACTGTGGATGGATATTTAGAGCAGTGAGGGGGAAGGGCGGGTCAGTCTGCGCCCATCACCTCCTGCCACATGGGGGATGACTAGGGAGCTATCTGGGGAGCACAGCTCCTGTTCCTGTTGAAGGGGGCGGGGGGTGTGGAGCAACACCAGGGGTGCCTGCATCCAAAGGAAAGATGAAGGAGAGGGTGCTCAGGGAGATCAGCTGCTCCAAGCAATGGACAAGCTTGCATAGAGAGCCACCCACTTCCAAACTGGGTGAGGCTGGCTGGCCATTGTTTGTGGGCCCTGTCTCCTGGCAGTCACTAAATGCACTGAGACTGGTTTGCAAACAGCAGTTCCCACTGTATGCACATGACTTATTTCGTATTACCGTGGTAGTGGCATATGCCCACTGTAAGAGGGCAGCCCTGTAGCCCATTGCCCTCTTTACAGATGAGAGTTTAGATAAGTCCTAGCTAGCACCCTGGTGGGGTCACACTTGCTCCTGGAATCCTGGTGGGGACTGCATGACGCCAGCAGCACCTTCCCTTCCTTTTGCTAGTTCCTGTCAGCATTCTGCAGGGCTGATGCGGATGCAAGCCCAAGCCTCTTATGAGTTAATGCTTTTTTTCTAGCTGAGCAAACCAAGTCAAGTGACCCATGTTCCTCAGAGCACTGCAAATGTCTTCAGTGATGGACGCACCAGGATAGGTGAGGGCATAGTGCAGGGAGAAATGGTGATGTTGGGGGAGGTGGTTTTGAGGTTGGTGTCCTTTCTATTTATTTACTTATTTTATAGAAGGAAACCTGTAAATAAGGGGTGAAGTCCTCAGTCCTGCTCTCAACACCGCGCACACCCTTGGGTTGGGATGTGCCCGCCAGTCCCCACGGACAGGGCAGAACTGAATGGGTTCTGCTGGTTGAAGTAGTTCTGTTAGGCATATCTGGAGTCCACTAGGCCCCTGTCTAGCTTGACTGTCCTGGTTTGTCTCAGGACCCCTGGTCCTTGTGGCTGCAGTAAGAAAGTACCTCTTCCTGTAGCCACATGTGGTAGACTCATTCCATAAACGGCAGGGCTCTTAGGTTTATAATCCCCAGCCTGCTCCTCTCTGCACATGCCCGTTTCTGCAGCTGCTCGTCTTACTCCACCAAGATTTAGCCCTGTGACAAGAATCAGCTGGGCAATGGGCAGGAGTGGATGGAGAAGCAGATGAAGCAATAGATGTGCATGAGCTGGGTGGTTTTGAAGAGCTTTGCCCCCATGTGCCTTGCAGTGTCCATTTTCTGTGATGTGGACACAAGCTGTCTCTTCTTGTCCCAGACTTCGTCCTGGTATGGGAAGCAGACCCTCAGACTCAGGAGCAGGAGGGACAGAGTGAAGGAACCAGTGCTGAGAGCAAGGTACCCCGGTGGAGAAGAGCTGTCGATGTCCGCAGGACTTGGCGGAAGAAGTTTCTGAACAAGCTCCAGGCTGCTGGAATCTGTATAGAAAAGGTAGCTGGGTCCTTTCTGGTGCCCAGGCAGGCGTCGTCCCTGTGTACCAGCGCACTAGCCTAGCTCTGCAGGGCCCTCTGTCCTGGGGGGAAGAGTTGCTTTGTTCACTGGGTCCTGGTCTTTCCCCCTCAGCCCAGTAATCTACATCTGGATGCGTCGGGGTCACCCCCTCCAGAAAGGGGAACTCATTGTCCACCTTGGCTTGGTCCTGGCTTCTCTCAGAGGGGAAAGGAAAGCAAAGGGCCAGCTAGCTGGGCAGTCTGAGGAGGAGGCTGGAAATGCAGCCATCTGTCAGCAACACAGGCAGCCTGCCAGCATGTGGTGATAAATTGAGCCTTCTTCCCCCACTGGAGCCAGGACACATGGTCAGTCTACTCTGCATCACTTACCCTGCAGAGGAAACCTAGTTCACGTAGAAACAGGGCCCTGTGTATGATGCAGCATGTTAGAGCTAAGGGTCCATGTTATAGGCATGGTCCCCTGGGCCAGCTGAGCTGTGATTGGCACAGGAGGAGGGCAAAGGTACCTTTCTATTGTGTCATGTTAGATACCATCACCATGGTATCTGCACACCTTCCAGCAGAGCATTAAGTGACACAAATGACTAATGTCTGTAAACCACTTTCCCACTTCCTTATCCTGAACCTGGTCAGGGGCCCATAGAGCCCCCAGCATAGCCTAGCCTGCCCGCACCTGCCACACCATTTATCTGTCATTAGGGATAACAGGTGGTGCCTCTTGAGGCAGATCTCCCACCCCTTTTCACTGCCAGAGTACCACAGAGTGGATGGAGCCTGGGGCCAGAACTTTACCCAGTTCCAAAATGGCCCCCTCCCCAGTCAGTGGGCCAGGGCGGCAGTGGGCATTTCAGCCTACTGGGAACGAGGCAGAGCTGCGGGGGGAACATCTATGCTATTTTTAGCCTCATCATGTGAGCCTGAGCTCTGCCGTGGGTTTTTCTTTGCAGTGTAGACATCCCCCTCTGTAGATGCTTAGGAATGGCACAGCCAGGGTGAGCTCTGCATGGCTGGCCGCTTGCTGCTATGAATCAACATAGCAGCCTCAATTTCAAGGGAGCCTTGTTGATTCACCGCAGTGGAGGATCCAGCCTATAAACGCCAGGCCTGAGTACAACAGGTGGCTAATGCCATCTTTCCCTCTCCTCTCCCAGCATGCGGTCCAGGATGAGAAGAAGGTGGTGCACTATGTGCTGCTGAACGCTCCCTGGAGCGTGCTGTGTTATTACGCAGAGGATCTCCGGCTGAGGCTCCCCCTGCAGGTGAGGGTCTTTCCGAGACTCGTTCCTCTTCCCTCTAGGGCCCAGTTCACCCCTGCAGGAAATGAGGAACTTCTAGTTGCCAGGGTGAAGCCATCCCACTGCTCCCATGTGTCACAGTGGGGGGGGGAGTTGTGGGGGAGGTATCTCCGCGCTGTCTGATTGGTGTACGCGCTGGGCTGGGCAGGCGCTGGAGGTCGCCCGGGAGGAGCTTCCTTATCCCTTCAGTGCTTCCCCACTCACCCTCTTTCACATGCCAGTGCTCCCAGCCTCTCGTGTCGTGCATGCAGCTGGGGCACTCGTCTCTTCCTCCACCCTCCTCTGTCCCCGGATGCTGACTCGGAACCATGCTGCTGCTGTTGTCCTCCTCCTGAGCCGTTTCCTCTTGCTTGTGCCCAGGCCCTGCCGAATCAGTCTTCAAACTGGTCTGACAGAGTGGTGAAGAGGCTGGGTGTCCCCAGCCTGCTGAGTGAGGAGGTTCCAAACATGCCCCTGGACTACTACACTTGTCACTTCAAGGTGAACAAGTTAACATGGTAAGAGCCCGGGGGGCCTGTAGAACGCATTCACTCCTGCTTCCTTGTGCTGATCACCTTTCCTCTTTCCCATCTGGAATGAGCTTCCTGCTGTCTCCCTGAGGGCAAGGGCTGTCGGACAGACAGTTACCCAAGTGAATTTTAATGAATCTGTAAACTCAGGGGTTGTACCCGTATGACTGGAGAATTGCTAACATAGTTCCTATCTTTAAGAAAGGGAAAAAAGATGATCCGGGTAATTATAGGCCTGTTAGTTTGACATCTGTAGTATGCAAGGTCTTGGAAAAAATTTTGAAGGAGAAGGTAGTTAAGGACATTGAAGTCAATGGTAAATGGGACAAAATACAACATGGTTTTACAAAAGGTAGATCGTGCCAAACCAACCTGATCTCCTTCTTTGAGAAAGTAACAGATTTTTTAGACCAAGGAAATGCAGTGGATCTAATTTAGCTAGATTTCAGTAAGGCGTTTGATACTGTACCACCTGGGGAATTATTAGTTAAATTGGATAAGATGGGGATCAATAAGAAAATTGAAAGGTGGATAAGGAATTGGTTAAAGGGGAGACTACAACGGGGTCCTACTGAAAGGTGAACTGTCAGGCTGGAGGGAGGTTACCAGTGGAGTTCCTCAAGGATCGGTTTTGGGACGAATCTTATTTAATCTTTTTATTACTGACCTCAGCACAAAAAGTGGGAGTGTGCTAATAAAGTTTGCAGATGATACGAAGCTGGGAGGTATTGCCAATTTAGAGAAGGACAGGGATATCCTACAGGAGGATCTGGATGACCTTGTAAACTGGAGTAATAGTAATAGGATGAAATTTAATAGTGAAAAGTGTAAGGTCATGCATTCAGGGATTAATAACAAGAATTTTAGTTATAAGCTAGGGACGCATCAATTAGAAGTAACGGAGGAGGAAAAGGACCTTGGAGTATTGGGGTCCTTGGAGTGGGGGAGGTTTAGATTGGATATTAGGAAAAACTTTTTCACTAAGAGGGTGGTGAAACACTGGAATGCGTTACCTAGGGAGGTGGTAGAATCTCCTTCCTTAGAGGTTTTTAAGGTCAGGCTTGACAAAGCCCTGGCTGGGATGATTTAACTGGGAATTGGTCCTGCTTCGAGCAGGGGGTTGGACTAGATGACCTTCTGGGGTCCCTTCCAACCCTGATATTCTATGATTCTATTGGTTGATCATAGGATGGTTATGAGCTGCCAATGTGATATGGCCATGAAAAAAGCTAATGCAGTCTTGGGATGCATCAGGAGAGGTATTTCCAGTAGGGATAAGGAGGTTTTCGTACCGCTATACAAGGCACTGGTGAGACCTCACCTGGAATACTGTGTGCAGTTCTGGTCTCCCATGTTTAAGAAGGATGAATTCAAACTGGAACAGGTACAGAAAAGGGCTACTAGGATGATCCGAGGAATGGAGAACTTGGCTTATGAAAGGAGACTCAAGGAGCTTCGCTTGTTTAGCCTAACTAAAAGAAGGTTGAGGGGAGATATGATTGCTCTCTATAAATATATCAGACGGATAAATACCGGAGAGGGAGAGGAATTATTTAAGCTCAGTACCAATGTGGACAGAAGAACAAATGGATATAAACTGGCCACCAGGAAATTTAGACTAGAAATTAGACAAAGGTTTTTAACCATCAGAGGAGTGAAGTTTTGGAATAGCCTTCCAAGGGAAGCAGTGGGGGCAAAAGACCTATCTGGCTTTAAGATTAAACTTGATAAGTTTATGGAGGAGATGGTATGATGGGATAACATGGTTTTGGTAATTAAATATTCATGGTAAATAGGCCCAATGGCCTGTGATGGGATATTAGATGGGGTGGGATCCGAGTTACCCACGAAAGAATTTTCTGTAGTATCTGGCTGATGAATCTTGCCCATATGCTCAGGGTTTAGCTGATCGCCATATTGGGGGTCGGGAAGGAATTTTCCTCCAGAGCAGATTGGAAGAGGACCTGGAGGTTTTTCGCCTTCCTCTGTAGCACGGGTCACTTGCTGGAGGATTCTCTGCTCCTTGAAGTCTTTAAACTACGATTTGAGGACTTCAATAGCACAGATATAGGTGTGAGGTTTTTCGCAGGAGTGGATGGGTGAAATTCTGTGGCCTGCGTTGTGCAGGAGGTCAGACTAGATGATCATAATGGTCCCTTCTGACCTAAATATCTATGAATCTATAAGTGGCTCTGAGAGGAGACCTCTTCTCCCACTCCCTGTCTAACAGGCCTGCAGAGCACCCACAGGGAAGCCTGTTACACCACCTGCTGGAGTGCTCATCCAGGCAGCTGCCTGTGCACGTTGTCTGCCTAGATCATAAACTCTTCAGGGCAGGAAGCACATTGGTGTCAGTGTCCCTGAGACCCCAGTGTACTGCCGAAGCTATCGGAGCAATAAAGGGATAAGAATTAAATACCACCACTTGGCGGGGCACAGGGTACCTATAGGGAGGAGGAGCCATGTGTGCACACAGGGTCGGATGAGGTGGGTAGGTTGACGATCAGCAGAGCAAGCCTGCTGTGAGGGGACTACCCCGGGAGAGTGACTCTATAGGCTGCCCCTCTGAGCTGATGGGTGAAGCCAAGGAGGTGACCTGCTGTTGGAACTGCCCCTGCAAGTGCCTTCTCTTTGCAGCTGGGCTGGCAGGGGCAGGGAGGTGCTGTCCTCGGTTGGATGGGTGAGGTGCAGGGCTTTACCTGTGGCAAAATGGGGTGGGGAAGTGGATGGCCCTGGGCTTGGGGAGAGGAAACAGGATGGCTCGTCCTGTGGGTTGCACTTTTGGGGGCATGTTCCCATCATGGTTCTGGTGTATGTGATTGCAGGTTCCTAGGGAGCAATGAGCAAGACACCTTCTTCAGCAGCACGCAGCGGCACAGGATAGTGAGTAGCCAGTCCAGGGGTCTCCTGGGGAGGGAGAGGTCCCGCAGGGCCTGGGACTGAGATGTGCCCTTCCTTCTTGGCTTCTGGTTCAATTCTTTACATGCTAATTCATTGCTTTTGTGTCAGCCCAGCTGGGAAGGGCTCGAGTGTTCTGGCCTGGGCAGAAAGGGCCACGCAGGGGGAAGGCTTTGGGTGCAGCAAGTTTGGGACGCTGGCGAGGCTTGGGTTTGGGCTAGGAGGAGAGGTGGGTGTCATGGAGAAGGCCCCACTTGAATCTGGACGGTGCAGGCCTTCCAGGGAGGCATGGGCTTAGGTTGGGGGCAAGTATGGTGGCCTCTAGGGAGGTTGACATTTAAGCAGAGGGAAGGCTCAGTTTAGGGGGTAGCTTGAGTAACGAGTAGGCTTGTGACCCTGGCTGTTTGGGCACTAGGCACATCCCAGATCCTGATCAGTCTAAAGAAAGACGGTCACTTACTCATGTGCAAAGTGGGTGTAAAATGTTACCAAATCAGACGTCTCTGCTCTGCTGCCCAGGTGGTAGCATGGTATGCCCACCTTGCACAAGTGTGAATGGCTGCACTGCGCAAGGTAGTGGGGAATCAGCTATCTATTTTAGGGACTTAGAGGGTCTCCCTCTTCATTGTATCTGAGCACCTCACAACCTTTAAAGCTTATGAGGCAGGGCAGAGCTATTATCGCCATTTACAGGTGGGGAACTGAGGCACAGAAAGGCTAGGTGACTTGCCCAAGTTCACACACACAGTCTGTGGCAGAACAGGACCAGGTCTCACAAGTCCTAGACTACTGCCCTAACTACTGGACCATCCTGCCTCTCTCAGTCACTGAACATGCTGGTCGTGTCCTGCCACATCCCTCCTGTAGTGGGGGGACCAAAACTGGACGCAATACTCCAGGTGTGGCCTCACCAGTGCCAAATAGAGGGGAATAATCACTTCCCTCGATCTGCGGGCAATGCTCCTACTAATACAGCCCAATATGCCATTGGTCTTCTTGGCAACTAGGGCACGCTGCTGACTCATATCCAGCTTCTCGTCCACTGTAGTCCCCAGCTCCTTTTCTTCAGAACTGCTGCTTAGCCATTCGGTCCCCAGCCTGTAGCAGTGCATGGGATTCTTCCTTCCTAAGTGCAGAACTCTGCACTTGTCCTTGTTGAACCTCATCAGATTTCTTTTGGCCCAGTCCTCCAATTTGTCTAGGTCACTCTGGACCCTATCCCTACCCTCCAGCATATCTACCTCTCCACCCCTGCTTAGTGTCATCTGCGAATTTGCTGAGGGTGCAATTAATCCCATCATCCTGATCATTAATAAAGATGTTGAACAAAACCGGCCCCAGGACCGACCCCTGGGGCGCTCCGCTTGATACTGGCTGCCAACTAGACATCGAGCCGTTGATCGCTACCCGTTGAGCCCGACAATCTAGCCAGCTTTCTATCCACCTTATAGTCCATTCATCCAATCCATACTTTTTTAACTTGCTGGCAAGAATACTGTGGGAGACCGTATCAAAAGCTTTGCTAAAGTCAAGAAACAATACATCCACTGCTTTCCCTTCATCCACAGAACCAGTAATCTCATCATAGAAGGTAATCAGGTTGGTCAGGCATGACTTGCCCTTGGTGAATCCATGTTGCCTGTTCCTGATCACCTTCTTCTCCAAGTACTTCAAAATGGATTACTTAAGGACCTGCTCCATGATTTTGCCAGGGACCGAAGTGAGGCTGTAGTTCCCTGGGTTCTCTTTTTTTAAATATGGGCACTATATTTGCATTTTTCCAATCATCCAGGACCTCCCCTGATCACCACGAATTTTCAAAAACAGTGGCTAATGGCTCTGCAATCACATCAGCCAACTCCCTCAGCACCCTTGGATGCATTGCATGGACTTGTGCATGTCCAGCTTTTCTAAATAGTCCTTAACCTGTTCTTTCACCACTGAGGGCTGCTCACCTACTCCCCATATGGTGTTGCCCAGTGCAGCAGTCTGGGAGCTGCCCTTGTCTGTGAAGACCGAGGCAAAAAAGCATTGAGTACTTCAGCTTTTTCCATATCATCTGTCACTATGTTGCCTCCCCCATTCTGTAAGGGTCGCACACTTTCCCTGACCACCTTCTTGTTGCTAACATACCTGAAGAAACCCTTCTTGTTACCCTTCACATTACTTTGCTAGATGCAACTCCAGTTGTGCCTTGGCCTTCCTGATTACAACCCTGCATGCTCTAGCAATATTTTTATACTCCTCCCTAGATATCTGTCCAAATCTCCACTTTTTGTAAGCTTCCTTTTTGAGTTTAAGCTGACCAAAGATTTCACTGTTAAGCCAACCTGGTCGCCTGCCATATTTGCTATTCTTTCTGTACTTCGGGATGGTTTCATAGAATCCTAGAATCATAGAATATCAGGGTTGGAAGGGACCTCAGGAGGTCATCTAATCCAACCCTCTGCTCAAAGCAGGACCAATCCCCAACTAAATCATCCCAGCCAGGGCTTCGTCAAGCCTGACCTTAAAAATATCTAAGGAAGGAGATTCCACCACCTCCCTAGGTAACACATTCCAGTGTTTCACCACCGTCCTAGTGAAAAAGTTTTTCCTAATATCCAACCTAAACCTCCCCCACTGCAACTTGAGACCATTACTCCTTGTCCTGTCATCAGCTACCACTGAGAACAGTCTAGATCCATCCTCTTTGGAACCCCCTTTCAGGTAGTTGAAAGCAGCTATCAAATCCCCCCTCATTCTTCTTTTCTGCAGACTAAACAATCCCAGTTCCCTCAGCCTCTCCTCATAAGTCATGTGTTCCAGTCCCCTAATCATTTTTGTTGCCCTCTGCTGGACTCTTTCCAATGTTTCCATATCCTTCTTGTAGTGTGAGGCCCAAAACTGGACACAGTACTCCGGATGAGGCCTCACCAATGTCGAATAGAGGGGGACGATCACGTCCCTCGATCTGCTGGCAATGCCCCTACATATACATCCCAAAATGCCATTGGCCTTCTTGGCAACAAGGGCACACTGTTGACTCATATCCAGCTTCTCGTCCACTGTAACCCCTAGGTCCTTTTCTGCTGCCGAGCCATTCGGTCCCTAGTCTGTAGCGGTGCATGGGATTCTTCCGTCCTAAGTGCAGGACTCTGCACTTGTCCTTGTTGAACCTCATCAGATTTCTTTTGGCCCAATCCTCCAATTTGTCTAGGTCCCTCTGTATCCTATCCCTGCCCTCCAGCATATCTACCTCTCCTCCCAGTTTAGTGTCATCTGCAAACTTGCTGAGGGTGTAATCCACACCATCCTCCAGATCATTTATGAAGATATTGAACAACACCGGCCCCAAGACTGACCCTCGGGGCACTCCACTTGATACCGGCTGCCAACTAGACATGGAGCCATTGATCACTACCCGTTGAGCCCGACAATCTAGCCAACTTTCTATCCACCTTATAGTCCATTCATCCAGCGTTTGTTGCTGCGCCCTCAATAAGGCTTTTTTAAAATGCAGCCAGCTCTCCTGGACTCCTTGCCCCCTCATATTAGCCTCCCAGGGGATCCTGCCCATCAGTTCCCTAAGGGAGTCTGTTTTTCTGAAGTTCAGGGTCCGTATTTTGCCACTCTCCTTTCTTCCTTTTTTCAGAATCCTGAACTCAACCATCTCATGGTCACTGCTGTCCAAGTTGCCACCCACTTCTACTTCCCCTATCAATTCTTCCCTATTTGTGAGCAGCAGGTCAAGAGGAGCACGGCCCCTAGTCAGTTCCTCCAGCACTTGTACCAGACAATTTTTCTTCCAAGTGTTCACTGGCAATTGGAGTTAAATAGATTTTAATACACGCAAAGTTTAAAGAGGCTGACTAAAAACCAACCCTTCTCTCTCCGTTTTCCATGTCCGGGGAAGGGAATGTTTACAATGCCTATGAGAGTCAGGCTTGAAATTGGTGGCAAAAATCAACTTCCTATACCTGAATTTATTTGAACTTGTTGAGTCTCTTTCCACCCAAATTCTCCTTTTCCCCCTCGAAAGGGCTGAACGGTGGTTGCTGACTGAGAACCTTTGAGGCACGGGTCTCCGTAGCGCAGTGCGGAGCATGGTGTCAGTGCTTAGAGAGAGATCACGGGGTTCTCGCTGTATCTTTTGTCAGTGTGACAGTGGCTAGTTACCACCTCTTTGCTTCCCCCAGCTGTACGAGATCCTGGCCACGACGCCATATGGCCACTTGAAGCAGGGGGAGGTTGGGGTGGATCGGCTGCTGAGCGAGGATGTCTTTGCAGCTGCATTCCCCCTGCATGAGGTAAGTCAGGAGACAGTCTCTTTCCAGCACCAGTTCCCTGTTACCTCAGCCAGACTGGACTTTGGTCATGTCCTGATCTCCAGCTCAGGGGGCAGCAGGGAGTTCTGGCCAAGACAGAGCACTTGCATGGCCTCTGCCCAGGAGGGGGCCGGACTGTTCAAAAAGCTCCTTATTCAGCCTTTCTGAAAGAATGCAGAGGTAACTGGGGGTGGGGGAGCTTGGCTGTGGGGAGCTGGAGAGGCAGGGGGCTTTTGTTAAGCCCCTCTCCCCAGTCCAGCCAGGTGCTCTGCTCTGCATGGGCAGCTGCAATGCTTTCACCAGCCTAAGTCGGAACCTCCCTGCTTCTCCCCTGCAGGGTCCCTTTGCGGTACCTGCTGACAGGCTGGCCCCTGAGAACCTGACCGAGCGCCAGGTCCTCTTCCAGTACTGGGCAAGGTGGCGGAAATGGAACAGATACCAGCCACTGCATCACATCCGCAGGTACTTTGGAGAGAAGATCGCACTCTACTTTGCCTGGCTGGGTGAGTACAATGCTCTTCGGAGCCCTCCCAACAACTTACCTTCATCCCTGGCCCCAACCAGACCTGTCAATATGCAGCCCTGGATCTCCTGCCCCATTCTCTTTAGCCTTGAGCCTGCACCTCTGTCTCCGACCAATTCCTGAGCTGCAATAGCTGTGTGTACCTCATGCCCACTGGAAAAGGAACTGCAGCCTCATTGATCAGGAGATGAGACTGTCCAATCTCTTAGAAATCACGCTTGGTGAAGAATAATGCCTCCTGCAGCCATGCTGCACAAAGGGGATGGGTTCTAGCCAGCAGTGGAAGGGCACCACCAGCACCAGTATGCATTATTCTGTCCTGCTCCTTACTGCTTCTTCAACCACCTCCTGTGGCACCCAGCTCTGCCCTAACCTAGTACCTTCTCCAGAAAGGGCTAATGCTTCCCTGGAGCGTCGGCCTCCTTGTGTTCTGCTGAAGGGAATGCTGGGATCGGCGCAGAGAATATCAATTGCTTGAGTAAGCAGAGTGATTTGCTTCACCAGTGCAGACCAAGGACAGACTGTACTGTAGTAAGCAGCACCCTTTACATCAGGTGCATGGGTGTCATTGCCAGAGGAGTAGGGAGCATCCTTCTCAGATTACCATTTTTCACTAATCATCCTTTTTGCCCCTTTCCTACTGTGGCTTGTTAGAGAGAAGTTAGCTTAGGGTGTGTGTGTTTACCTTGTACTGGGATTGTCTGCCGTATCCCAGGCAAGGAAAGCTGTCCCTCTTGCACAGAGCAGCAGCCCGAAAGCTCCCATGGCCAGAAGCCCTTCCTGTCATGTCCAAGCTGTGGGATGCATTTGATGGAGAAGGGTTAGCTCAGCGGTTTGAGCATTGGCCTGCAAAACCCAGGGTTGTGAGTTCAATCCTTGAGGGGGCCATTCAGGGATCTGGGGCAAAAGCTGGGGATTGGTCCTGCTTTGAGCAGGGGGTTGGACTAGATCTCCTGAGGTCCCTTCCAACTCTGATATTCTATGAAAGAGTCTATGAAATGGACGTGGCTGATCAAGCAGGAGCAATGGATGCTTTGCTGGTCCCTGTCTGTGGTGGGGCTGAGTTTCAAGTCCTAGTCCTAATCTACAAAACCCTCCATAGACCAGGACACTCATCTCTTGACCACAGCCCATCAAGAGAAGATGGGACAGATGTTCTCCATGATGGGATCCCAGCGGTGGCACTCCTGATCAGAGGAGCTCGTAGCTGGAGCCTAGATCTACATGCAAGCCCCCGCTTTTCTCTGAGGTTTCCCACAGGAACACCATCCATTTCCACTGCCTGTCGTTACGTTAATGTTACTTTGGTTTACTCTAGATAGCCATAAAATGTAATGATTTTTTTTGGCTGTTATTGGGAGGGGAGAGGGAGGTTGAAAATTTCCCCCCCTTCTCTTAATTTATCATTTAAAAATCGGAGGCTGTTATTGCAAATGCACAATTCATGTTTTGCAATCAGAATATTTAATAAAGTATCCCATTCTGTTGCAAACACAATCTGTCAGTTTAGGAGAGAGCTAGAGGGGAATGCCAAGCCAAACAGATAACCTTAGCTTTAGGATCCTGTATATTTGCAATATGAACTGGTCTCCAGTTTCTCTGTGTATATTTACATAACTGTTTAGGTTGTGAAGGCTAGGACTATAACAGGGTTTAAAAGAGAACTGGATAAATTCATGGAGGTTAAGTTCATTAATGGCTATTAGCCAGGATGGGCAAGGAATGGTGTCCCTAGCCTCTGTTTGTCAGAGGATGGAGATGGATGGCAGGAGAGAGATCACTTGATCATTATCTGTTAGGTTCGCTTCCTCTGGGGCACCTGGCATTGGCCCCTGTCAGTAGACAGGATACTGGGCTGGATGGACCTTTGGTCTGACCCAGTAAGGCCGTTCTTATGTTTTGTCACTGAGGAGAGGAGGGAGAAGGTGCAATAGGAAGGGAGGGAAGGAATACAAGAAGAAAAAGGAGAGAGAAATAGACAAAATTAATTAAAAATAGGTCTAGAAGGGGGAGAAAAAAAGTTGAGGCATCCTTCGTTTGTGTGTGCGCTACATGCAGCTAGTTGGCATTTAGAGGCCATGGTGATAACACCTGAACCAGATCAAGGGTTTCAGCCATTCTCAGCCAGAAACATGGCGCTCACAACATGAGAAAAGGAGAGTGTAGTCCATCCTCTCCTGCCAAGAAAGGGAATCTGGGCCTCTTGGGGTGCTGGGCGTATGGCCAAAGAACGTAATCGCTGGCTAGCATAACAGACTCCACCCTGCCTCCAGACTTGATTAACATGGATCATTGTCCCTGTGCGTTAAACACAAAGGTGGGGTTCCCACTGCCACTCGGCACTGGGTAAGCTCTGCTCCGTGGGAGCAGAACTGAGCCAGCACTGAATGGCTTTGAAAGTCCTGCCCTGTGGCCCTTATCAAACCCAGCCTCTCTGGAGGTCACGTCTCAGGGTGACAACACAGCCAGCAGGAGGCTCTTGAAGTCAATGCCAGGGTGGGATAACCCTTAACCTCCCCTTTCATCCGCATGTAGATAGGATGATGACCGCAAATGACCTCTGGGAACATGTGGTGCAGAACATGGTAGGAACTCTCCTTTACAATGGCTGGCAGGGGACTCTCCTTCAGCTGCTGGGATGCAATGCCTCGCTCCGCAGTTGGTTTCACTTGGAATGTGGGGCTCTGAATTGGGCTCTTCTGCTGCAATGAGGGTGCAGGTTGGCTACAGGTCCTGTGTTTGCAATGAGACTCCCACTCTGAGGGGCTGGCCTTCTCTCCTCCCTCTCTTTAGGTTTCTACACTGGTTGGCTCTTGCCTGCTGCAGTTGTGGGGTCACTGGTTTTCATCGCAGGCATATTTCTGATGCTGAGTGACATACCTGCGTAAGTGCCAGCCTTTCTCCCCTTTCTGTCCCTACCTTCTCCTTCCCTTTCCCACTGGCTGTCTGCAGCCTGGAGGATGTGGGGGAAGCCCCAGGGTGGCCGGAAGTCAGCAATTCCTGGCTGCCTCCCCTGAGGTCAGTCCACTAGGCCACAGCACCCTCAACTAGCATGCTCACTGTCAAGCAAACCTGGCTTCTCACAGGCTTCTGAGCAAAACTCCTGGTGAACAACCCAACTTCGAGGGGGTCAAAGTCCCCTTAACACCCTACAGGGAAGTGTCACCCTGGTCTTCACAGCATGTGGCCACCCGCTCCTCCCAGCACCATGGGTTTGCTGTCTGGCCCAGGTTCCAACATGGCAGGGCAATGGCTAAACTCTAACTAGTGGAAACTGTTGGGGGGAAGCTCCATGAGGTGTTTCTGTCCAGGCCAAGGAGGGGCAGAAAAGGGCCCGTGCTCTATGCTGCCATGTGAACATCCCAGCTTTGATCCTGAGTGCCGCACTCTCACCTGGGGACCTGCAGGAGAAAAGTGCTCAGCAGCTTTGCTCCCCCAGAACCCTCTGGCTGGTTTAAGGAGCAGTGTTTATGGGCTCTCATGGCATCCTGGCTAGTCCCTCATCACTGGAAAGAATGAGGCCTCAAGAGGTGTGAAAGGGTGGCCTTCAGCAAAGAATGTACCATGATCCTGATTTCTTTCTTTGTCTGCCTCCCCGCTACCCTAGGCAGGAGATCTGTGACAGTGAGGATCAGTACCAGATGTGCCCGCTGTGCAAGGAGTGCCCACACTGGCAGCTCTCCAGCATCTGCAGTATGTTCAAGGTGAGGTTTGTGGCTCCCAGTGGTTAATTTCCAGAGGGGAGGGCCAGGAAGAGAGAATATCCTGCAGTCTGCCCTGTAGATGGTGCTTGCTAGAGTGCCCAGGTGTGCACAGCTCTCACTCCTGCGCCAGGGCCTGGCTGAGCTGGGAGGTGCTGTGTTTATGCACTGGGAGGGGCGATAACCAGGCTGTTTGCACAAGCACAATGCCCTGGGATTTGCTCTCTGCCTTTTCTTCTTAATGACACTAGAGGAGACACCTCAGGGGGCATGCTTCTGTGTGAGAGGAGAGAGCACCAGGACTCACCTCCCCCAGGACTTCTCACCCCCTCCCATCAGCAGTGTTGGACCCTTTCCCCTCTTTCTAGTCTCCCTCCTCCCAGCCGTGCACATTCGCTGGCATCCCACATCCCCAAACCATCCCTCTCCAGCTCCTCCTCCCCCTTTCACCTTCTCTTCTCCCTTGCATCCCCTCCCTGGTCTGTTCCTCCCCAGGTCCGCTGCCTCTTCCTTGGCTTCCCCCTGTTAAAGGAATTGGTGGCTGTGATTGCAGAGCCATTAGCCATTATCTTTGAAAACTCGTGGCTAACGGGGTAAGTCCCGGATGACTGGAAAAAGGCTAATGTAGTGCCAATCTTTAAAAAAGGGAGGAAGGAGGATCCTGGGAACTACAGGCCAGTCAGTCTCACCTCAGTTCCCGGAAAAATCATGGAGCAGGTCCTCAAAGAATCAATCCTGAAGCACTTACATGAGAGGAAAGTGATCAGGAACAGTCAGCATGGATTCACCAAGGGCAAGTCATGCTTGACTAATCTAATTGCCTTCTATGATGAGATTACTGGTTCTGTGGATGAAGGGAAAGCAGTGGATGTATTGTTTCTTGACTTTAGCAAAGCTTTTGACACGGTCTCCCACAGTATTCTTGTCAGCAAGTAAAAGAAGTATGGGCTGGATGAATGCACTGTAAGGTGGGTAGAAAGTTGGCTAGATTGTCGGGCTCAATGGGTAGTGATCAATGGCTCCATGTCTAGTTGGCAGCCGGTGTCAAGTGGAGTGCCCCAGGGGTCGGTCCTGGGGCCGGTTTTGTTCAATATCTTCATAAATGATCTGCAGGATGGTGTGGATTGCACTCTCAGAAAATTTGCGGATGATACTAAACTGGGAGGAGTGGTAGATACGCTGGAGGGCAGGGATAGGATACAGAGGGACCTAGACAAATTGGAGGATTGGGCCAAAAGAAATCTGATGAGGTTCAATATGGATAAGTGCAGGGTCCTGCACTTAGGACGGAAGAACCCAATGCACAGCTACAGACTAGGGACCGAATGGCTAGGCAGCAGTTCTGCGGAAAAGGACCTAGGGGTGACAGTGGACGAGAAGCTGGATATGAGTCAGCAGTGTGCCCTTGTTGCCAAGAAGGCCAATGGCATTTTGGGATGTATAAGTAGGGGCATAGCGAGCAGATCGAGGGACGTGATCGTCCCCCTCTATTCGACATTGGTGAGGCCTCATCTGGAGTACTGTGTCCAGTTTTGGGCCCCACACTACAAGAAAGATGTGGAGAAATTGGAGAGAGTCCAGCGAAGGGCAACAAAAATAATTAGGGGGCTGGAGCACATGACTTATGAGGGGAGGCTGAAGGAACCGAAATTGTTTAGTCTGCAGAAGAGAAGAATGAGGGGGGATTTGATAGCTGCTTTCAACTACCTGAGAGGTGGTTCCAGAGAGGATGGTTCTAGACTATTCTCAGTGGTAGAAGAGGACAGGACAAGGAGTAATGGTCTCAAGTTGCAGTGGGGGAGGTTTAGGTTGGATATTGAGAAAAACTTTTTCATTAGGAGGGTGGTGAAACACTGGAATGCGTTACCTAGGGAGGTGGTAGAATCTCCTTCCTTAGAAGTTTAAGGTCAGGCTTGACAAAGCCCTGGCTGGGACGATTTAATTGGGGATTGGTCCTGCTTTGAGCAGAGGGTTGGACTAGATGACCTCCTGAGGTCCCTTCCAACCATGATATTCTATGATTCTATTCTATGATTCTATGCTATCCCTCCCCTGCATTCCCTGTCTGATTCCCTCCCACATCTCCTCTCCCTGTGTGTACAAGGTCTCTCCTTTCTGGTGCTGGAGCAGGTCATGCTGCAGAGATGAGAAAAGGGTCTGTTTCACTTTGCTGCTTGCACAAGGAGTGGAGCAGCAGAGACAGATCTCAGGGACAGCTCCTCCTCAGGTGCTGCTCCAGTGTGTGTGGAAAGCACTGCAGAGCACGGAAGAGGCTTTGTGAAGCTTGAACTGGCTATGCAGATTCACACTACCGCATGGACATTTCTTGCCTCAGGACGTAGATCTGCTCTGCACAGGAAGCCTCTGCTGTGCTGGGTAGTCGCAAGATCCTACGCTTAAGGGATTATGGTTGTTGGGCTAATCTGATTGGCTCCTCCCTCTGTAAACTACATAATGGACCAGTCCCCCCAGCTGATGTAAATTGGCACGGCTCCATTGACTTCAGTTTTGGTCCAGACTTGCACCAGGTGGGGATCTGGCCCATTGGCTCCAGTGGAGCTAGGGCTGATTTACACCACCTGGGGATCTGGCCCAACGCTCTTTCTCTTGCCAGCAGGAGCGTTTGATAGCGCTGAGGTAAGGTTCCTCAGACAGCGAGGGTGACCTCTCCGTGTGGCTCCAACCTCTTTCCAGGGAGATTCAAGCAAATCCAGAGAGAATAAGGAAAGACTCTCTCCCTTTGTGCCTGTCTGGAGCTGAGGCCCCCTCCCTGTGCAGGGAGAGATGAATGCTCAGAGTGGGAGGGGTCCTGCTCTGAGCCTGGGGATGAAGCCTGTAAAGGGCCCCAAGCTGTGAACTGCTCCCAGCACATCCCAAAGCCACACCCTACTGTCACCTTCTCAGCACAGCACAGGCAGCTCTGGTTGATCAGATACACAGGAATCCCAATCCCTGTCTGCCCTGTCCCTATGCCTCTGTTCCTGCACACCATGACTTGCATTTCGGAGCAGCCTGGGTCTGGTACTGGCAACAGGTGGGCAAATCAGCTGTGCACTGTGTTGCCACTGATCAGTGACTCCCTGCTGCCTCAGGAGCGCTCCGGTGTGGGTCCAAGGACTCAGACTGGTCCAGCACTCTGATTCTTGTAGATCGGTTCCAGTGCTGCTTTCTCTTACCGAAACCCCTATGCTTCCCCTGGGGAACCTGTCTGTCCCAGAGAGAAACTCATTCTCTCTCTCCTGCCCTCACCCCCTTCACACACCCAGTAAGTTAGCACTCTGCTGCTCTCAGGATCCAACCTAGCAGCCCTTTCCTCCTGCAGGTTCCCTGAGCATTTCTTTCACTCTCCCTGCTTTGCTCCATAGGCAGGTCGCCTCTTCGACCACGGTGGGACCATCTTCTTCAGCATTTTCATGTCCCTGTGGGCGGTGACATTCCTGGAGTACTGGAAGCGGATGAACGCCACCCTGGCACACCGGTGGGACTGTTCCGACTTCGAGGACATTGAGGTACAGGCCTGACCCTCTGTCACACAGCTGAACTCCCAAGGCCGTACAAAGCCAAATCAAGGCAATGCCTTTTCCCACTGTCCTAGGAGCGGCCGCGACCCCAGTTCACTGCCATGGCTCCCATGACAATGGAGAACCCAATTACTGGAGCAGAGGAGCCATATTTTCCCAAGCGGAACCGCGTAAAACGGGTCATGGCTGGACTGATGATCATCATCATGATGGTAAGGGCACTGTAGGCCCCTGCCCTGTGCCTGGCTTTGAAGGTCTTCCATGGGGTCTGCAGCTCCTGGCATGACTGCATCCTCTCTGCATGCTGATTGTCTCTTACTGCCTGCATGACTCTCCCATAGCTGCCAGTGCCCCCAGAGATCAGAGCAAGCCCAGCTCCCCTAAACACACTAGTTCCTGATGGCAAGTTGATGGCCACTGGGTTGTGTTTGCAGATTGCTGTGGTTGTGATGTTCCTGATCTCCATTATCCTGTACCGGGCGATCATCAGCATCCTTGTGTCAAGATCCGGGAACTTCCTCTTTGTGGCATCGGTAAGAGGTAGATGCAGCCAGCTCTGCCCTGGGGTTTTATGGGCTTGCGCAAGCCCTGTGGGATGTTCTGGTTCATTCCCTCTGCTCTCCTCTTTTCTAGGCGTCTCGTATTGCCAGCCTCACAGGCTCAGTGGTGAATCTAATCTTCATCCTCATCCTTTCTAAAATTTACATTGCACTGGCCCATTTCCTTACCAAGTGGGGTAAGTGGTGGAAGGGAAATTGCACAGACTTCAACTGTGGTTCCCTGGGACAGTTCCTGACAAACCTGGCTCCCCATTCCTTTGCTACTTGTACATTGCAGTCACATTCACCTGCACAAAGTGAGTGTGAAACACTGCCATCCGATTTGAGAGGGAGTCACACCCACTCACACAGGAGGGGAGAATCTGATCCATTGTCTTCAGCTGGATTCTTACGCAATTAAGCAGGGGCTGCTAAAAGAACTTGGATTTAGGTGCAGAAGGGAAAAGGCGGAAAGACAAGGATCCCGACAGATCAGGAACTGAGAAAGGTGGAAGGGCTCAGATCAAAGTAGAGAGGTACCAAGGCAGGGAATGAGTGCAGGTGTTTGGTGTAGCGTCACAAGGTTGCCACCTTTCGCAGTTTTCCTGGGCGCTGTCTTAGGTCCTGCAAGCTAGATAGTGTGACACAAGGAAGGAATTTGTCTCATACGGCAAAACATCAAAAGTTGCAATGCAGGAGTCCTGCAGTCAGGTGTCCAATGGCTTTCTGCGGGTCCAGGGCTAATGCTGGTGGATGCCTGGGGAAAGCATTGTGTGTGTAGAGGGATGCTGGAAATAATTAGAGAGGGCTGAATTGTTTTAACAATCTTTTTGATTAACATTTTCATTTTGATTGAAATTTTCTTTTTTTTTTTTTAGCTTGGGTTTTCATTTAATCAATAAACCGAAATTTAGTGACAGTTGCTGTATATTTTCTGCCAAAAATTTCTAACTTGCATGGAATGAAAATGTTTTTGTTAATTTTTTTGCAGAAATATATACCAATTTTTTTGACCAGCTCTAGAAATAATATTAAAGGATAAGATCTTTATTAGCCTTTTTAAAAAGAAAAATAATTTTAGTGAATTTGCTAGTAGCTAGTTTATATGTACAGTACAACATTATTGCCCTCTGCTGAACAGAATCAGAACTGTACAAGTGTGTGTCATAGGCCCTTTACTGCTAACTGCTAATTGAGATTCTCCATAGGGTCAAGAAGCAGGGCTGTGGGCTTGTGCATAAGGGGAACTGGGTTCTATCCTGGCTGTCGCCATGACGTTCTGCATGGTCATACCATGTAATATAACACCTGTGAAATCCTAGGTGACCATGCAGTTGTTGGGAGTTTTAAAAATACAGACATCTTAAAGATCAAACAAAAAAGCCTCCTAAACAACACACAGTCGTCCAGCTTCTTCTGTTACGGATGCTGTTGCCATGGTTACTGGGTGACAGGAGTAAGTGCTGGTAGTCTCCTTGAATGGTGCCGCAGGGCAGAGCTGATGCTGTCTGTGTGTGTTGCTCTGCCACAGAGATGCACCGGACTCAGACGAAGTACGAAGATGCTTTCACCTTCAAAGTGTTTGTCTTCCAGTTTGTCAATTTCTACTCTTCTCCCATCTACATTGCGTTCTTCAAGGGCAGGTAAAGCATCTCCAGGGGAGGGCAGCTCTCACCTCCCCCACCCATCCCCCAGCTCTGGCCCCCTCCTCCAAATGTAATCCCATCTCAGCTGGTGGCTGGAGTTCCTGCGGCTGACCCAGAGGTAAGCGGCTTTGGGACCTGGTGATGTGCAGTTCCAGTGGATAGCCCTAGAGCAGTGGTTCTCAAACTGTGGTCCGCGGACCATCAGTGATCCATGAGCTCCATTCAAGTGGGGGTCTATGGATAGTTCCCTCTGGTGTGCGGCTGCACAAGAGAGAATAAAGGACCACCCACCTAATTAGTGGAGCTGTGCAGGCATGGCTCCACTAATTAGGTGCTTGGACCCTGGAGAAGACACACATGTAAGGTGAGGTGGTGGCCTTGGGGGGAATGGGGGTAGGTAGGAGCAGGCAGTGGGGTGAGAAGAGAAGGGTTGGGGGGAATTTGGGACATGCAGGGCTGCGGCAGCCAGAGAAAAAGGCAACTTTTCCCAGCTCCAGGGCTGCGGCTGCCAGGGAGAGACCCCTCCTCCTTCCCAGCCTCAGCTCTGTGGTGGGGTAGAGACCCCTTCCCAGTCCCAGCTCCAGGGCTGCCATGGTGGGAGAGAGAGGGCACATTCTTCACATTAGAAAGGTAAGACTACTGATATTAGTTGTTTGCTTTTATTTGTAGAACAAAAGTTAATTATTATTGTTTTTTTAACATAGCACTTTTATCTAAAGCGCTTTACAATAGTTAGCTAATGGTACAAACAACATTTGGAAAGATCATTAAATGGTCCATCAAGACCCTCAGCAATTTTCAAGTGGTATGTGGGGAAAAGAAAAATTTGAGAACCACTGCAAGAGAGACAGGGAAGCTGCAGCACTGCTGCCATCTAAAGGCAATGAGCGGCATGCGAGGGAACGTGGGGGTTCCCGGCACTATTCTAATGTGGGAAGGAGCAACTAGAAATCCCCTTTGTGCCTGTGTAGCTCTAAAACAGCCCTGTATCCATCCAGGCATGCAGTGAGCATGTCAGAGAGCTATATGGCTTTTCCAAAAAGAACAGGAGTACTTGTGGCACCTTAGAGACTAACACATTTATTTGAGCATAAGCTTTCATGGGCTAAAATCTACTTCATCGGATGCATGCAGTGGGAAATACAGTAGGAAAATAGATATAGATAGATATACACAGAGAACATGAAACAATGGGTGCTATCATACACACTATAACGAGAGCAATCAGTTAAGGTGAGCTATACACGGCTGCTACTCTGAAACATGGCCTTTTCAGTGTATGATCCCATGGCACACACAGCCAGTTGTTCAGACTGTTGAGGGGCTGGGGGTCCTGTATCAGAGGGGTCTCTGTGGGAACAGGGCAGCTCAGTTTGGGAAGTACATGCCCGTGGGGAAGCCCCTCCAAAGCGTAGAGCTGAGACTTCTTGGGCTACTCGGGACTTCTGCTCCCTGGTGGTGATGAGGGTGCTTGTGTGCAGAGCTTGGATTCTGAAAGGAAGACAGACTCTCGCTGTGTTGCATGGGGAAGGTCTGCTGAATCAGCAGCTGGCAGACCCTGTTGCAAGGCCCCAACCGCCACTATTTTATATAAAGACCCCCCCGCTAAGATCATGGCCCCATTGTGTTGCTGAGTGCTGCACGTGCAGTGAGACCCAGACCTGAGGAGCATAAAACTGAAACAGACAGTGGGTGGGAGAGGGAACAGGCACAGGCGAGTGACATGACCTGCCCAGATCTCCCAGCATGGCAGTGACAAAGCTGGGGGTGGCATGCAGGGCTGGAGTCCCAGCTCGGGCCTGATCCAGGACCATGCTGCTCCCCAGAACTGATAGAAACAGGGGATCTGAAGCAGAGGGGTAAGCAGGAGAGTGTTGGGGGTAACTGCAGCCAGCAATGTTTTGCTTCAAATACCTCTCACATGTGGACAAGATGAAATTAACATGAGGGGCAGGTCCGCGGGTGCCCTTTGATCTCCTTTCAGTCAGTCAGGCACCCTTGCACTGTGTCCCTCCTTTCCCCTCTGTTGGGAAGAACAGGGCACTGGGTGAGGGAGAAATTTCTGATATACATGCTTCCATCGCGGGATGTTCCTGGCAGGCTGGGCTGGCCTCTGTGCACATCCACAAGGTATCATCAGCGCTGGCTTCAGATGTGGGCAGAGGGAGATGATGATGAAGTAGATCTGACCTTGTCCCATTCAATACAGCAGGACTGGCTGAGCAGCATCCTCAGCCTCCCAATGGACAAGGGTGACTGGGGTGTGGGAGCAGGGCACGGTGCACGACAGCACCACATCCCGAGTAGCCTCAGGAGGTATAAGAGATTGATGGGAGAGGGAGCAAGGGGTTCAGCTGTGGATTTATTGCTATCTCTTGCCATCCTGGATTTCCCAGATTTGTAGGCTATCCAGGAAACTACAAGACCTTGCTTGGGATTCGCAACGAAGATGTGAGTATCCGCTATTAAAGGTTGAGAACACAGGAAGGGCCATGCTGGGTCAGACCAATGGTCCCTCTGGTCTAGGGCCTGACACTGGCCAGTGCCAGGTGCTTCAGAGGGAGTGAACAGAACAGGGCAATTAGCGAGTGTCCATCCCCCGTCATCCAGTAGCAGTGTCTGGCAGTCGGACGTTTAGGGACACCAGAGCACGGGGTTAAAAGGAGGTGGGAGTCTCAGGTGAGGGACTGTGTGAGGTAACCTGCCAAACAGAATGGGGACCCTTTGCTGGGGTGGCAGGAAACGCCCCAGCCGCTGCCCGGCTCTGTGCACAGGGAAAGGCTCCACAGCTCTCAGGACAGCCCTGGCCAGAGGAGGAGGGAGGCCATGGCCAGCTTCAGTGCCAGTGTAGTGGGCTCCCGGCCTGCCCCGTGCTCCCCCCCACCTCAAGCTTGCTCGCTGCCTCCGAGGCCTTTGATAGGAACCACACACAGACTCCTCTGAGAGTGCGGAGGGCCCAGGCAGGATGTGGGCATAGCACAGAGAGGAGCAGTGGCATGCCTGGGGAATCCTTGTCTCTGGCTGCCCATCCCCCCAGGACCAAAGAGAAGTGGGGGTGGTCAGACTCCACCCCTGCCCCAGCCACCTCAGGGGCCCCCCGCTGCCCATCTGCTCAAAGACTAGTGGCAGCAACTGGGGCCCCTCATTCCTGGCCCACCCTTCCCAGAAGTCAGCCCCTGGGGCTACCCTGAGGGTTGGGAATGGCAGCCGGGGGCTTGGTGCTGCAGGCTGCCTCCTCCCCAGGCTCCACTGACTCCAGGATGCGGCGATGGTGCTGGGCGTGTTAGGGCAGCGTGTGTGGCTCAGGAGTAGCCTTTCCTGTGGGAGGTGGAACCTAGAGGACCCCCCCACCCCCGCCCCATTCTTCTGAGTTTGAGGGGAACGTGCAGCGAAGCTGATGTGCCTCTGTCCTTCCCACCCAGTGCGGGGCTGGCGGCTGTCTCATTGAACTCGCCCAGGAGCTGCTGGTCATCATGGTGGGAAAGCAAGTCATTAACAATGTGCAAGAAATCGTCATCCCGTAAGCACTGAGTGCGCTATCGGGGAGGGGGAGGGGGAGGGGAGAGTTGGTTTGACTTCTGGCAGACCATTGCATCAAAGGGAGCTGCTGCCCAAGCTCTATAACAAGGATCTATGGGGCAGCAGGTGGGGATGTCTCCATGCAGGGGCACTGTGATAGATTCGGAACGAGGGGAGGGCTCAGTCAGTGTGAAGGCACCTGTGTGTGTGGCCCCCATCTGCTTGGCTTGTGCTTGGCAGGTGGCTGCATCACCTATCCCAAGTGGTCTGACGGCTATGGTTTGAACTATGGGCCCCAGCTCAGACAGGGCCAGTGCCCAGATGTGCCAGGGCCTGTCACCACAGCCCTCTCCTCCCACTAGTGAAGGAAGAGGGGAAAGTCACAGGTTGTGACTGCTGGTAGGCTTTGGGGTGACAGATGGTCACTGAGGATGGGGGACCCACAGCTGACATGGACAAGTCAAAGCAGAAAAAAGTTGCTTTGCAACAGGTCTCATGGCAAATTAGCCGTGTGCACTATGGAGCCTCTGGCTTCTCACTGCCACTGCCCTGCCTCCTGCCCGCAAACTCTGTCTGCCCACGGATTCTCCGGCATGAGCTCCTGCAGAGGAGGCATTGCGGGAAGCAAACCAGGCCAGGAATGCCCTTCCCGTGACCGCTTCTTTCTCTGCTCCCCCAGGAAGCTGAAAGGCTGGTGGCAAAAGTACAAGCTTCACTCCCAAAAGAGGAAAAGCAAGGTGGACCAATTGGGCCTGGTGCAGCAGGCACCCTGGGAGAGCAACTACGAGCTCCTGGTCTGTGAGGGGCTGTTTGACGAGTACCTGGAAATGGGTAGGGACCAAAGGCCGAGTCTGCCACCTTGGGAGACCACTAGCAAAGTGTCCTGGCCAGGTAGGGTCACTTGATCACTGACCGCACCAGAAGAGGCTGGAGGTCAGAGACTTCCTCAAGGGAGGAAACTTTTGCAGTCAATAGCGTTGATGGCGTGTGCGTCAATCACTTATCCCGCTGATGTGCCCTCTGGTGCCCGCTAGTGGTGATGGTTTGGGAAGCAGCACTTTCTCTAGCACGTTCACTTGAGTGAAGCCCTAGAGAAAGAGTGAACTCAACTGCCTAGTCTTGGTGTTGAATATTCTGAGCTCTGGGATTGCAGTCAAAGGTCTAAGGAAACCCTCCATTAGAGGTAGTAGCCTTGTGAAACTGACTCCAGAGACACAACTCTGCCTCCTGGAAGGGAAATTGCAGTCCAGGCAGAGAATTTCTCCTCTTTCCCCAGCAGAAATTGGGTTATACAGCAGGTTCTATTGCCCCGTCTCACCCTGGCCAAACAGCCCTGCTGGGTCTGGCTTGATATACAGAATATCCCACAGGAAGCCTCCATCTCAGGCTTGGTTACCCAGGGCTCCAGCCCAATCTGTTCCACATCCCAGCTTCCTCTGCCTGAAGGCTCCTCTCAGCTTCCTTATGGAGCCAGTCACAGCAGTGAGTCAGCGCTAGCTCTCCAAACCCTTTGCTCGGCCATGGCTGCACTATGGATGCTGCCAGCCCAGGTGTGTCAGCCAGGTGCCCAGGGGTGATGGCTGACAGAGCTGTGCCAGCAGAAGGCCACGCAGACATAGCTATACCAGCACAGCAGTGCTTTTACCAGTCTAGCTTGTTTGGCTCATGGGTGGAGGTTTCACTAACCTGGTACCCCCAGGTCTAGCTGCATTCATGCCAGGAGTGCCTGGCCGGTACACAATACAGGCATCCCTATACTAGTAAAGCGTGCCTTGTGGCCTACCAGGGTCTGTCAGGTGATGCTGGCAGCCTATTACAGATGGAAAGCAGAGACAGTACATCTCCAGAAACAAACAGGGGCCCACAAAGATCTTTGGATTGCAACATATTCCCCGGGTACTCCCTGTTCTCATCCTTCGGAAACCAGAGACGGTGGGGAGGGGAAGGGGGACCAGAAAGGCCACGATCACTGCTGAACACAGCTCACAGAAGCCATCCTCTGCTCCCCTTGCCCACTGTGAATGTGAGCTCTGATGATTCTTTCCTTCTGCACAACAGTCCTGCAGTTTGGATTCATCACCATATTTGTGGCAGCTTGTCCTCTGGCGCCCCTTTTCGCCTTGCTCAACAACTGGGTGGAGATCCGCCTTGATGCACAGAAGTTTGTCTGCGAGTACCGTCGTCCTGTGGCCGAGCGGGCCCAGGGCATTGGCATCTGGTTTTATATCCTGGAGGTCATCACCCACTTAGCTGTCATCAGTAACGTGAGTTGTGCTGGGCAGTGAGGGAGAGGGAGAAGCCAGCTCCCAGCATTCAGACGCAGCCAGCCACGTTGCTGACACTTGGTTAATATAATCATGTAGCATCGTGGTCTCTTGTTTACAGATTGAAGGCAGCCACTGTGCAGGTCGGTATCGGGGACAGGGGACTGAAAGCCAGAACTAAAGAAAATGTTACTGAAATTCTACTTGGCAAATGCAAATCTGTAGACATGATATAGTAACTGGACACACAGCTGTCGTATGTGACAGAACCACACTCAGATTCAAGGGCTGCTGCAGCTCGGGCCTCTGGCTCAGTAACCCCTATTGGAGCAGCGTTGCCTGACACAGCCTGCTCTGACAGGCTCCTCATCTCTGTGGCTTAATTCCCAAGCATGACAGGCCTGGTTTTCAATGACCAGTGAGAGCTGTGCAGTATTGAAGGGTGTGTCTGCATTTGAAGAATAAATGCTTGCAGCTATAATTGCTAGTGAGCAGAAACCCTACAGGGATGGCAAGCCTCAATCCAAACTTTCACTGGGGACTTGCCTCAGTAGGAAGTGCAGGGTCAGAGTTTGAGTGGGGAGTTGGTGTCTGGGAGAGGCGGTCCAGCAAACTCAAGAGTCACACAAGGCTTCAGAGTAACAACGTTTAGCCTGAGGCTCAAGCAGGTATGTGGACATCTGTAATGTGGTAGGAACCTGGCTGTAGCACTAGTGTTTTCCTCGTTTCAGGCTTTCCTGATTGCCTTCACTTCAGACTTCTTGCCCCGTCTGTATTATCAGTACACCCGCGCCAGTGACCTGCAGGGCTATGTTAACTTCACCCTGGCGTATGCTCCAAAGCACTTTGCCTCGCAGCACAATGTCACGTGCAGGTAGGAGTCCCAGCTCAGCTGCCTGGGGGGGGCCTCAGGACAAAGCTCCTTCCCATTCTCCATTTGAATTACAACCTCTGATTTTTTCCTAGTGTTTGTTTTCTCTTCAGGACAGTCGTCTCTGTGGGGCCCCAGCTATGTTTGGAAGTGAAAGATGGGCTCAGGAAGGCACATGCTTTGTTTCCACTTAATCCTGTGTGAGACCTGTGCTAAAGTATTTCTCACCAATTATTGAGCATACTGCCCCATCCAGCTGGGGGTGGGAGAGGGAAGGGAGACCTAAAGGCTAGTTCAATTTATTAGGGGACAAAAGATACACCATTTCATAGACACACCCAGTTTACACCTGAGTTAGGAAGTGCAGCATTAGCTTCCCTAGGGGAGTGCCACTCAGGTCCTCCTTTGTGTACGGGGGGCTCACCTGTTTGTGCTCTTCTTGTAAATCAGTCTTGAAGGAACTTAAATGTGTTTTTTAATTGAGCTACTTCTACTCTGATTTACCTTGCTGCTGCTTGCCAGTCCTGGAGGAATGGGCACGTACTCCCTGCTGGAGAGCCAGCATTAGTCATGCCTTACCCTGATGGTTCATGGGCCACATAAATGCCATCAGTTATTAATTCTTAAGAGTGATTACATATGTGGAGGAAGTTACAGAAGGCAAAGTCGGGGGAGTGAAACTACCAGTGGTTGCCCTGAGGATGTTGACATGCAATCAAGAGGGCTGGAGGGCTCCTCTTTCCCAGCTGTGACCCTCCTAGGTGTAATGTCATCTTCTCTTCCCCAGGTACCGTGCATACAGGGATGAGAGCGGCAGGTACTCGCTAACCTATTGGAACCTACTAGCAATCCGCCTGGGCTTTATTATAGTGTTTGAGGTATCTCCCTCTCGTTTTCCTCAACCAGTTCCTCCGGCCAAGGTTTTTTCCCTTTGCTGTCCAATTTCTCATTTTAAGTTCGTTCTTTCTTTCTTTCTTTCTTTCTACACCTGTCCCCAGGGCATGTACTGTCCGGCTCAGCATAGACGTTGCCCTTGTAGGGTTGAAGAGAGTGTGCTCTCTGGGGGATACTTCTTGGTTCAAGTCCTTTCAGTGCCTGTCTCGTTCCCTGCAGTGCTCCTGTTGCTTGGCTGAGAACTCCACCCTGCATGGGTCAGGCACCTCCATGCTGTTCCTTACTCATCTGGTCTTGCTTCAGAAAGAATCAGCTGTCTGATTGGACACATTGCTCTTTTCCTCTTGTTTTCAGCATGTGGTTTTCTTTATTGCTCGTGTGATAGACCTGATGGTGCCCGACATTCCTGAGTCACTGCAGATCAAGGTGAAGCGTGAACGTTATCTGGCCAAGCAGGCACTGGCTGAGAACAAGGTAAATCTCAGGGCCAGTGGTCTTTATTCTACATCGGGGTAGTCAGTAGATGATCTGTGGGCCACATCTGGACCGTCAGATGCTTTTGAACAGACCCTGAAATCTTTTTATTTACGTTGGAGTCCTGAGTTTCTGTGGGCATCCCACTGCCCACGCCTGGAAGATGTCCAGATGAAATGCACTAAAGTAACACCCTATGCCTTTTGGTCTTCGGATGTTCATTAGCAGCTGGGGGGCTCCCTGTTCATAACACCTTTCTCCATGGTCATTGATAATCTCTTCACTCATTTCTGTTGCTCTCCAAGTTTTGTTGTGGCTGTAGTTTCTAGACAGGCTTATCGGTCAGTTCTGCCCCCTAGGTCTTAAAATTCCAGGCTTCATTGGTTACGTAACTCATGCCTTCCTCCCTTAAACATAACTGATGACAAAGCAGTTTGGTCACTGTCTGTAGGATAGCTTTCTAACTCTCTAATGCTGTGGATACTAATTGTCCTTTCTCCTTTTGATCCATTGCTGAGGTAGGCCCTCTTTGAGAGAAAGGAAGTCAGAGCCACCTCCAGCACTACGCAAACAGCACCTAAAGACTGGGAGCTCGATGGGGTGCATGAAAACCAGGAGCCTACCCAACTGCGGATGATGACATCTACACACACATTAGCTGCTAGTCCTGAAGCTCATCCTCAGCAGCAGTTTGATCCTGAAGCAGAATCCCCATGAATTGCTGTTGAATCTGTTTTAGAACACACATGGTGACTGCTTCCATGTGGGTGCGAATAAAACTGAGTTCAGCCGTGGAGCACGTGATTTCTAGCACTCTCTCTTTTGGAAGAGATGAACGCAAATTGACTCTGATCCTGAGCTGGGTGTCTGTGTGTAAGAAACCTTGCAGAGGAATGAATTATTTTAGTGAAATTTCAGAGTGGATAAAATGAAGCACTCCAATTAACAGTACAGTGACAGGCATACTTGAATACCAGCTAAGTCCTTAGAGCCCTGCAGGTTAAAGTTAGACGCCTGGAGCTGCCTGACTGGGGTTGGAAGAAATAATTTATGGAATGTCCTCTGAAGAAATTCCTTCTTGCTCTGAGCTATGGTAGAGGACAGGTGGGCTGTATGTCCCCCACCTGGCATGAGGTCGGTGTGTAGGAGAAGCAGTGCTTCAGGCTGAAATGAAGCAAGGCCCACTGCTCCAGTGAAGTAGGAAGCAGCAATTCACCAGGCCTGGCTCTTACACAGCTGCAGCAGGGACTTAAGGGAAGTCTAACCACCACAGCATGTTGTCAGACAGGAGCAAGCCTTGCTTCCTCTTCCTGTTATTAGAGAGAGGAAGCTTGGAGTTACGCACTCTATTCCCTTACAGAAGAGAGAGGGGGAGAGCCTGGCCACTAGCTGGGGTTCTTTACACTAGTAGGCATGGAGAGGGGGCTTTGAGGGAACCTACTTACACTAGTGCTGGCCTTGTTAATACCTTTTCCTCCCTGGGGCCTGCACTCCGGTAGGACCACTCAGCCTAGTTATTAGGTAGTAAATCCAGACAGGGAACAACTGACGCTTTAAGATGACAGCTTAAAGTCGTAAAGAACTGTCAAAGGTTATGCTAGCCCCTGCCCTAATGTACATGGAAAAGCAGTCTCTTTGAGCATGGGCAGAGAAATACAACACTCCAAGCTGTTTCAGGTTTTTATTTTAGAATTTATAAAATTCCAGTGTCATCCATACTCATGAGCCTTTTTACATGTTTGCATATAGTCTCCAAATTCCAAAGTTAAGGCCAAGGGATCATTGCCATGGAAACATACACTATGGAAGACGTTGAAAATAAAGGAAACGGAGCACATACCAGAGCATCTGCTACAGACTGAGGGGCAGCAGGAGACAGTACTAGGTACAATCACTTCATGACCTCTAGCATATAGGGGACCCTGAATTTAACTCAAGCCAAGCTAGGCAACTGATGGGGTTTTTTGTTGTTTTTTTTGGGTGGGGAAGGAAGAGGCTGGCAGGCTTGATGACCTCAAGATGTACCCGTACCCCTTCCCCATCTGGGTTATCTAGCCCTTTTCAGAGCCCCTTTTGCTGGAAAGGAGGGAATACTACCCACGTTTGGTGAGCCACCCCTTTAGACATCTACCATGGGGCCAAAGAGTGGTCAAGTTATTCACCACTGCCTTTGCATAGCCCTGGGACCTGGCTTTTTTCAGTTGACAGCAATTCTCCACTTCACTGTGAGCAACAGGACATTTTGGTATCTGACTTCTGGGCTAGAGTCCTCTTCCAGAGGAGTTTGGGGGGAAAAAAAGAAAGTCAGCATTTCTAAGCCTCACTTGACACAGGTGCAGCATTGGGAACAGCAAGAGGACTGGGGCAAGCCTTCCAATGTAATGACCCTTTCCCCAGTCAGCATTATTAGGGAGCTAAAACAGACAGGAAATGGAGGTACGGAAGGAGGACATCCTACTTCCCCACCCCACCAACACAATTTCTCTCTGTGGCTGAGCAAGCAGATCACTTGAAGCCTCCTTCAAGCAAGCTGTGGCAGTGCTTAGGGTTCAGCAGCTCAGGGGCCAAGATGCTACAGTACAGAGCATGGGATTTACCACATACCGTGGCAAGCCCTGGGCCTTAATTCTCCCGATGCTCTTTGCCTCTGAGCTACAGAAAGTCAAGCTGCTCTGAAGTATTCAGAGTGGACATACAACCTGCCTCTCTTGAAACCAAACTCACCTTCTGGCTCAGAGTCCTACAGCTCTGAAAGAGGGGGGGACGGTAGGGGAAGAGAGCATGCATTACCCTAACCTTGCTCTTACTTTCATGTGTGTGTTTCTAACAGCTACATGTGCTGATTGATGCTCTTCCACTCTCCCTGCACCTGGTGCAGATAATTCAGCTCTGGCCTCCACAGTGAGATGAGCAGGTTAGCAGTAGTGCTGATGCTCTAGACTTGGAGGCCACCCACAGACTGGTTTTTGAGGTAGAAAGAAGGCAATAGTAAATAGTGACAAATTCCCTACCCCTTGTGTCTAAATGCTGTCAGAGGGAGGGGGAAATTATGTAGCTTCAGCATTGCAGTTCCCATCAGCTGGCTCCTGGGCCATGTTACCATAGCAAATTGGGCTGACCCAAATTCTGTTGCACCCCCATAATACTGTCATGTCCTGGCTCTGACCAGCTCTGCTGCTGTTGGGAAGAACAAACTAGGGGTGAAGGGGGAACACTGGGAAGCAGCCATATTTTTACTCTCACATGTTGGAAGACTCATCAAGTGTGCATGAGACTCTAGAGTCTCAATGCTACACATGGACATGCTCAGTGCCATATATCACTCAAGGCTTTTTTCTACTTGACCAGGGGATCCCTTGTGTTACTGCTGGTCCCTTCCAGTGTCATTGCTTCTACAGATTATTGTATTGTTCTTTAAGCAGTTTCTGATCTTTAGACTTTTAGCTCACTCCACACATCCACTATCACTGTTAGATGGATTTTTGGCAGTTCAAAGGAAAAGCTGATTGCACTCTACGACAGTAAAATAAGGCCCGGGATAAACACAAAGGAAAAAGGGCAAACGTTTTGGCTTTTTAGAAAGTCAAGGAAATTTATTTCCTGAGGTCATGAGACAGGAAGTTGATTCCTAGCCACAGTAAAGGAGGTCTCCTAATGAAGACTGGAGTGCCTAGCAAGACATGCTCAAGGTATCTGATCACTGTCACCACTTTGGCAGTTGTGAAGCTTAGCAGATGAAAGTCACTTATGACACTTCAAACAAAAAGCTGTGTCTGAGTTGGAGGGGGGAAGGAACCATCCATTTATAGTAGGTCCTAAACCCAGTTACAACAGACAAGTAGAATGGGTTCTAGCACTCCACACAGCATTAGGAGACCTCGCAGGGCAATTTACTTGTGGTCCAGCCGCTAGGTCAGAATTCAAACAGGAAGTATTTGTGGCAGGTTAGTGTCAGGTCAGCTGGCTGGAGGAGATGTTTCTGCTTCCAGGTCATTATCGTTTAGGGCCCCAGGGAAGAGTCTTGGGGGCCACTTGAGCCCCAAAGCTGGGGAAATCTTCAGAACTGCTCATATCAGGGGCCTAGAGCAAAGGAGAGAGAATGGTCTAAGTTATATAGGCTAGCTGCAGTTCTATACAACACTCAAGAAGCTCAGAGACAACTGAAGCATTCAAGAAATATCACATGTGCAAACACAACATGAAGATGTCATGAGTGAGGCCACATATGGAAGAATGTTCTAGGATATCAAAGGTTTCAGAGTAGCAGCTGTGTTAGGCTGTATTCGCAAAAAGAAAAAGGAGGACTTGTGGCACCTTAGAGACTAACCAATTTATTTGAGCATAAGCTTTCGTGAGCTACAGCCGATGAAGTGAGCTGTAGCTCACGAAAGCTTATGCTCAAATAAATTGGTTAGTCTCTAAGGTGCCACAAGTACTCCTTTTCTTTTTAGGATATCAAAGTTCTTGAAAGGTACAGAGGACACGGACAATACAGCAACAGGGTTTTAGTAGGACCCAAGAAAACAGCAGGTAATTCATTAAGATGGGTCACAAAAGGATCATGATCTGAATTAACCAAATCAATTCAGAGTATCAGGGAAGCAGATTCTGCAGGAAGGTCGGAAGGACGTCTACGTCTTGGGGAGACTGACACCAAGTATAGTTTGCCCACTGTTTCCTCAGTGGTGCCAGATCTACCTTAATACTCAAATGCTATCCTCCTCATTGCTGTAGTATGCAGTAGTATTGAAGTATTCCTGCTAACAGGCAAGGCTTTTCTGTACAGTGGCAGGAGAGACACTAGCTGGGTCAGAGGTTCTTGACACCCCTTAATTTTTATGGCTCAGGCTAGCTTTAGAACTGAGACCTGCCAAGTCCTCAGTGCACCCTGGGAGGACCAAGTGGCCAAGAAGAAGGTATTTGGCTTAGTAGCTTATCCCCTGCCTTTCAGATAATGGTCAGAAATGGTCACCCTAACCTTGAGTTCCACAATAACAAAGTGCCAACCACAGCCGCTTTGGCAGGCAATCTCAGCTCCAGGGGCTGTGGAGGAGAGATTCGCCAGGCTAGCAGCTCCTTTCAGAGCCTCTACAGGAGGATTCTGGTGTTCCTAGCAGAGGGGAGAGTGACAGCAGCAGAGGAAAGCTGGGCAATTTAGAAACCCAACATACTAACATCTAGGGGCCTAGTACATACTGTCGGCAAGCTCTCCAGGTGATGAGAGAGACTCTTGACACCTCCCAATTGTCAGGAAAGGCCTAGAAATCCACTAAAAAAAAGGGAAGAACATGATTCTGAAACAAGTTACCTACCTTTCATAACTGTTGTTCTTTGAGATGTGTTGCTCATGTCCATTCCATTCTAGGTGTGTGCGCACCCACGTGCAGAGTTGTCAGAATTTTTTGCTTTAGTGATATCCGCAGGGTCAGCTGTGGTGCCCTCTGGAGTGCCACGCTCATGTGGCAACGTATCAGGCACCGCTAGCCCTGTGCCCTCAGTTCCTTCTTGCTGGGCAACTCCGACAGAGGGGTAGGCAGGTAGTGGAACGGACATAAGCAACGCATCTCAAAGAACAGTTACAAAAGGAAGGTAACAGTTTTTTCTTCAAATGCTTGCTCATGTCGATTCCATTCTAGGTGACTCACAAACAGTATCCCAGGAGGTGGGCTTGGAGTTCCCGGCTGTGTGGCTTGCAACACCGCTCTACCAAAGCCAGCATCGTCCTGGGGTTTCTGGGTAAGCGCGTAATGGAATGTGAATGTGTGGATAGACGATCAGGTAGCGACCCTGCTGATA